ACTTACTTACTTACTTATGCCTCTCACCACCAATAAAGCAAAGGCGCTGACCAGTATTTTGTAGCCCACTCTGTTCTGGGATCTCCTTTCCAGTTCTATCCAATTTTTCTTCATTCTTCTCATATTTGTATCCATTTCTCGGCTTTATGTATTCATTAGCTTGCCGCCTCTCCTTTGACCTTGAGGAGTCCAAGTAGGGGCTTGCCTTGTGATGTAGTTGGATGCTTTACGTGAAGTGTGAAGCCGACTCCTCGACCGGGAATCGAATCCTTGCTTTACGCGTGAAAGGAGGAGATATTCACTACGATGCTTTCAATTGACATTACTAACACCTAAATGCAAAAAAAACATTCAATCAATAAATACAGTCTTAAATCACATTTTAAAATAACTTATTCAATCCTGACACTTCAAACTCTAAACACACATTGTTACAATAATTAACTGAAATGCCAAGTAGATTAAATCCGATATCAATAAGCTAGACATCTGTGTGATTTGACTCAAGTGTATATTCGTGTCCTTTAGATGTATGAAAACAGATTGTAACCATTTTATTTCATAATATATTTTCATCTTATCATTCACGTGGTTAATTTCGTCCAAAACTTTGAACAGTTTTCGAGATACCTTTTATACATCAGTTGTATATAGTGCTGCGAATTTTCCATTATATCGAAGTAATTTTAAGTGTACATGTCCTTCAGAAAGAGTACATTAATTTCAATTGCAGTTAAGGAGATTAATGTTTTTACACATTTGAGATCATCGATCAATCATTGTAAGATCACCATTAGTAATGTGGAAGCACTGGATCTTCCTGGTATTGGATTCGTCAGCAGTGCACATTCACGACTCTTGCACCTCACAGGAATTAGAGATTAACACAGTCAGATGCCGGCAGCTCAGTGGTCCAGAAGTTAGGCATTCACAAGACCGAAGGTTCTGAGTTCGAGTCCTTCGAGTCGCAGGAGTTGTAGCTGCACACTGCCACTAACGAGTCCCCTACCATGACTGGACGGTCATCTAACGCTTCCAGATTTCTAATGGTGGTCTAACAATGACTGAATGATGATTTCAATGAGTAAATTCCTTTCATAAATCCTCATTGTTGAATTATATTTGTGCACACAGACCACCTTATACTGAAACTCACACTCTTTCAATTTACTAGTATTGAGAAGATTGAGGCAGGCAAGGAAGATTGTATTGCGCAAATTTACACTCTGAGTTAGTTAAAAACGAAAACATTACATTGAATACTCTATTTGCACACCATCTTTGAGTCGTGACTTCCAACACTCCATCCTTCTTCTTCCATTCCTGTTGTTGCTTCCTTTCCTTCCTGTTGATACTACTCCATTCACTTCTTGCTTTTGCTCCATTTGCCTTCCGTTTTCCTCTTCTGACCGTGGTGAGACTTCTTCTTCTTTCACATCCCTTCTTTTACTACTTATATCGTTCTTATAAGTAGCACACCACAGTATGCCTAGAAATACTTTCATCAAATTTATCAAGTTCAAATAGATTATCTCGTATTCACTCGTTATATTTTGCCCATCAAATAAACAATTCTGTGTGTGTTCACATGTATTTGTTTTGTTTAAAATTGATAAACAGTTTCAGTGTGACCCTTTTTTGAAATGATACAAACCACACTAAATCACATAAATTGTAGTTTGAACTAATTTTTCAAAATACCTCACTCTGATTGGTTCGTTAACAATATATTCGAATTAAAACAAACTATGTAAAATATTCGATAATCATGTAGAGTGAAAATAACCTACGGTAAAACAACAACAAAAAATAGTTTTTAAAAATTTTCGACAGCTTACTTACTATTGGCCAAATCATCTAATTTGAACATTAATGATTTTACTAACTAAGTTGTAAATTGTATTGTATTGTACGTTGAAAGATCAACACTTGTTTCATTTCGATCAGATATCATATTGCTGTTAAGTTCCTTCATATAAAAATGTTATCCAATGCTCCTCATCAGCCCAGTAGTGGTGGACGTAAAACAATTGATATTTGTGATTTAGTTCTTGATTATATAACACAATTTCCATTTGCTAAAGATGTGAGATCACGTATTAATTTAGATGAGATTCATTCAAGTGATATTGATTTTTCACGTTTACATATTACACATAAACAAACAGAATATCTTTCATCATCCAATATGATTATTAATGGTGCTGTTGTACAACAACACACTGGATCAGTGTTAACAATGAAAAAAAATCTTAAAAGTCATGTATTATTCTCATCATTATTTACAAATAACACTAGTGAAACACAAACAAATCATTTAAGAACTGAACGTCGAACAAGTTCATCATGTCGAATTAGTTTACAAAAAGTTGTTACTAAAGGTGGAAATATTAATTTACAAATTGGACCACCAAGTATGTCAGTTCAAGCAAATGGTGGTTTTCGACGTGAATTAACTATGTCGAAAGATTTAGAAGAAGTATTTGAAGAGGAATTAATTTGGACATTAGATACTGAAGTGAGTGTATATATATATATATATAAATGATCTCTATGTGTTTATCTATTAGAAAACCTTGAAATATGTATAATTGTAAATTTAATTGCAAGGCACTGTTGGTGTTTATACATTGAAGATATAGGAAATTGAAGATGATGACAAAGTACAGAATCTTCTGAATACCCTAAGCAACAATGCAAGCATGTTCGGGATGCGGTTCTCCCCGTCAAAATGTAAAATGTTGCTTCAAGATTGGGTTGAATCGGCACCTGAACTAGTGATAGGGAGTGAAGTGGTCGAACGTGTTGATCGCTTCACTTATCTGGGGAGTCTCATCAGTGTTGATGGCCTGGTGACTGACGAAATCTCGGCACGGATACAGAAGGCTCGATTAGCTTTTGCCAACCTGTGTCACTTATGGCGTCGGCGAGATATCCGTTTACTAACTAAAGGACGAGTGCAGTAGTGCAGTAGTTCGCTCGGTCCTACTTTATGTCCGCGAAACATGGCCAGTGAGAGTAGAAGATATTCGTCGGTTATTGGTTTTCGATCATAGGTGTCTTCGAAGCATTGCTCGTATATCCTGGGACACTCGAGTGAGCAACGCTGTTATTAGGAAACGGGTGCTAGGTAAGAATGGCAGATCAATCGATGAAGTATTGAAACTTCACCAGTTGAGGTGGTTGGGACATGTGTTGCGTATGCCCAACCACTGACTGCCTCGTCGAGCCTTGTTTTGTAGTGTAGGAATAGGTTGGAAGAAAGTTAGGGGCGGCCGATCCAAAACATGCCAGAAATCCATGAAATCAATGACAAGTGGACTGAGCCATGTCGGTAGTTGTCGACTACCTGGTTGGGGTCCGCGAGATGATAATAATGGATGGTTAGAGACCTTGAATGACATGGCTCAAAACCGTTTGCAATGGCACCGGTGCATTTATTCTTTGTGTTCTCTCAAATGTTAATCTTCTGGATTCTTCAACGCCTCTAATTCTGACTTTCTAAACTTTTCTCACTGAATCATACTTCTTGAGTAGTATCTTCTAATCCTAACCTCTCCGATTACTTCTAATACCCTTACTAACTCTTCTTCTATTGGATTTGAATTGACAATTATATCTCTGTGCTGATGTGGTATGGCGACATGAACTGATGTACTTACGTACGAAGTTCTACGTTGCAACTGACTGACTGACATAGGAAATCAGATGATAGATTTTCTTATAGCGGTACCCAGAATATCTTTTGTCATTATGTCAACATCTACTACACTTAACTGTTTGTATAATCGAATCCACGTTTTATATGGGAAATGGATGAGGCCCTCCCACAAGATCGAAATCCCTATTACTATTAATCACGTTAAGTAAACAGACTGCGTCACGCTCTTCTACCTTGGTTGAGACTTATGAATTCAATCTTCAATATCAATAAAAAAATCCTTACAATAATATATATTTTCTAGCGATTTTTATGAATAGTTTGAAAATTGAAATACAAACCACTATTTGTAACAGATTGTATCTGAATCAATTTGAAAAGTGCAGCAAATTTGAACTCTACTGGTCACATCTTGTTTCTAGAACTCTACGGATTTCCTCACGAAACTAGCTAGTCACTAGTGAGCACATTTTTTGTATTTTTGGTGTTAGAATATTATGGAGATCGCTGTTTTAGACTGAACTCATGAATGAATCATTGTTAAATTGATCAGAGTTAGACATTAACACCGTCAAATGCTACCAGCACAGTGGTCCAGAAGTTAGGCGTTTGTGCGCAAGGCCGAAGGTCCTGGGTTCGAGTCCTGCAAGGCGCAGGAGTCATGGATGTGCACTGCCACTGATGAGTCCTATACCAGGACAAAACGGCCGTTAACTGCTTCCAGATTTTTAATGGTGGTCTAACAGTGATCAGTTCATGAGTTCAAAACGTATCAGGCAGTGACAATCCATAATATACAACTATTTACTTTCAAAATAAGATCAGTATTTTTTTTATTCAGTCAGATACAGATTTCTATAGTTTTTTTTACAAGAAATTCTAAAAATTTAAATAAAATTGAACATATTCAATGGCATTTGAATATTCTTAGTGAACTGAGATCATCATACATAATCGTATAATTTGAGAATTTAAACAAAATTCAAATTATTGTTTAAAGAGGATTGAAAGAGACAAAAGTGTATTTTTGATATGAATTGCAAATGTAAACTCTTTTTTTCGAATGTATAAATAGTAATAAATAAAGTAATAAGAAGAAATTTAACTTTTTTGTTAGAAATGTTCAACGATCAATAAAATTGAACATGGAAGTAATTAGTTAAACAAGGCTACATGATTGATTGATTATTTAGTAGTAGTAGTGTAGTGAATGAGAACACAGGTGAGGACAACCGAATTGTATATAACGAAAATTACAGAGTTACTCAGTAAAATTGGAAAACCATATCGTAAATCGTTCATTTGCAAATCTTCAATCCATCATCAATCCATTGTCTGACATTTCACTCACTATTAATGCGTTTCATACAAATCCCATTGAGTTCCCGCTCTTCATTTCTTGATCTTCCCCAAACTTCTGCTGGCAGACATTACGATTTTACTCGCGTCATATACAACTTATAAGAAGCGCACACCACAGTAGTACACTGAACTTTCATGATAGGGTTATGGATATTGTTGAGTTACATTAGTGAAATCGTAAATCGATCACTGTTAGACCAGCATTAGAAACCTGGAAGCAGTTAACGGCCGTTTTGATTTGGTATGGGACTCATCAGTGACAGTGCACATCCATGACTCCTGTGACTCGTAGGATTAGAACCCAGGACCTTTGGTGTTGCGCACGAACGCCGAACCTCAATCAATAAAAATAGCATTTACTTTTTTCTTTACTGTAAATGATCTGTTCTTAATTAAATACAAATTATGCAAACGAATCCAGTACTCATTTAAAACTCTGTGAACAAACTGACTTGATAGTTTATCTGTTGGGTACGTGAGATCCCCAGAACTCGCATGGAAAAGGTCCTAATTTTGAATTTTTTTTATGTTTACGCGCATGAGTCGCTCCGGTGACCCTGAGCTCACATTTCCTACTGTGATTGGTTGATGTATTATTTTAGTAAGCTATTTTCGTGGCTCTCCCAAGGACGCTGCTAGCATTGTATAAATAAGCTTGATTTGTCTGCTTGTCCACATCGTATTTTTGAGTACATTCTCTACTCCTTATCAAGACTTCTTACTATAGATGGCCGGGGCTGGGACAACTTATTAGAATAGTCTATCTTGTCACCGAGTCATTGTTTCCGTTCGTTTACCGAGGTAAGGTGAACTCGTAATAGCATTCAAGCCTATCAATTGACGAGCATATCTGTTAAGTTCGTCACTAGGTACGAGTTCACCTTAGTCGGTAAATGCGAACGAGACAATGAACCAGCGTCCAGATAGGCTACCTTGATCGCAAAACTACAAAACAGAAGTCTTGATAAGCGTAGAAAGTATATTCTACAACACCCAGCAATCACACAATACATTCAAGCACACAACTCTCGTTTATTTATACATCATAGAAACGTCCTTGGGACAGTCACAATAAAATAGCACACTAAAATACACAGCAGCCAATCACATCCATGGATTTTGCTGGTAGGAAATGAAATCTCTCGAGGTCAACTGATTAGCCCACACTCGCAAACGTGAAATCCAAAATAAGGCATTATTTATCAAGCGAGTTTTGGAGATCTAACATCCCAAACAATATCATTCATTATGCGTAACATTCACTGAATATGATAATAATCAATAATAAAATCGGAATGACCTAGAAAGTGTCATTTAAACAAACTATAAAATATAAACTGTATACACAATACATGTAATAATTACTTAGTTTAGAATATGACTCATAACTATTTTATTCATATAAAGTATTCAATTATGGTGTGCTTAGCTAATTGAACCTTTGATATTTAAACAAAAAAAATATTGAAACATTTAACAGATTTAATAAATTCCAGTTAATTAATTAATGAAATAATTGTGAAAGTTTAAGATTATTTTAATGAAAGTGAATTAATGTACAACAGAATTCAAATATATATATATATATATAATATATATATATATATATATACGGGGTTGTGAAGATTGTTAAGTTACACATTTTTGTAACCATGAGTCGATCAATGTTAGACTACCATTAGAAACCTGGAAGGACTGGACGGCCGTTTCGGCCCGGCATGGGACTCTTCAGCAGTGCGCACCTACGACTCCTGCACCCCGTAGGATTCGAACCCAGGACCTTCGGCATTGCGCGCTAACGCCCTAACCGTTAGACCACTGAGCCGGTATCTAACGGTGTTAATGTCTAACTTGATCAAATTCACGGAGTTGCACAACCTCATACACAGTCTTCGGTAGACACTGCCTACACCCGAACAGAATTGAACTTCGCTGGTCACGTCTTCCCACTAGAAATCGGAGAAGATTCCTCACGAAGCTAGTCACTAGTGCGCACAGGTAATTTGCATTACGGAGTTATGAAGATTGTTAAGTTACACATTTTTGAAAGCAATGTCTACCGAAGACTGTGTATGAGGTTGCGCAACTCCGTGAATTTGATCAAGTTGGACATTAACACCGTTAGGAACCGGCTCAGTAGTCCGATGGTTAGGCGTTCGCGCACAATATATATATATATATATATATATTAATTTGATTAGTTTTTAGTGGATTCAATATTCATTTGTAGTGCGAATTCAATGATCAATGATTGTTTGAATTTGAAGAAGAAATAAAATAGGCCAATGTAATTTGTATATTCAGTTATATAGTCGTTATAATATGGACAAGAACAGAGTGATCTAAATGCATGAAGTTTTTATGCAATCCATGTACACATTGTGTTATACAATCAAGTATATAGTATACTTGCATTGCGGGGTTGTGAAGATTGTTAAGTTTCCCATTTTTGAAACCATGAACCGATCAATGTTAGACCACCATTAGAAACCTGG